GCGTCTGCAGGTCTCTCCCCTGCACCACTGCACTTACTCTGGTTCCTTCCAGAGTGGTCTCCTCATCTGCGAGGCACCAGACCGGGTTGGTGCTGTGTGGGTAGATCACTGAATTAGGTAAAATAACAAATTGTGAAGAGTTTTTAAAATTTCTGAAATACTCTTAAAAAACTTGAGTGATTCCAGAGTTAACCTAATAATGACTGATTTGCATCCAGATGTGTGTTTTTGAGTAGACAGAAATGGAGCACACTCGTGAGATTTTTCCAACTCAGGGACTGTGTCTGTCTCAGTGATCTGTGCCACAGCAGAGAAGGATGTCAAGAGGCTCTCTGCAAATCTCATTATTTAGAGCTCTAGACTGAGGCCACTGGTGTGCAGATCTCACTTGTAAGAGTTCCCATTTCAGTCACCAAGTATAGGAGAGTGAGTACGGGGAGGGAGGGGTATGTGCAAGTCTGAATCCATGTTAAAATGGTTAACATTTGTTCAAGTAAAAGAAACTTAATTTTTTTTTAAGATTTTATTTATTTATTTGAGAGAGAGAGAGCACATGAGAGGGGGGGAGGGTCGGAGGGAGAAGCAGACTCCCTGCCGAGCAGGGAGCCCGATGCGGGACTCGATCCAGGGACTCCAGGATCATGACCTGAGCCGAAGGCAGTCACTTAACCAGCTGAGCCACCCAGGCGCCCAAGAAACTTAATTTTTTATCAGGGTCCTTTGCATATGTTTGGAACCATCAACTGTTGTGTTGCTGTCAGTTTTGATTTGTGGTTCAAGATGTGCAACTTCTCAGTTCTCAGAGGTGCTCAGTACCCCCAGGCTGCTGTCCTGTGAGTCACGCTTCTGGTCATTTTCACTGAGGGATTTGTGATTCTGCTCTCTGACTAGCTTGTCTTACTATTCATTTCTTCATCTTTCCCTTTCCTCTATTATTTTGTCATAATTGTCAGGGTCTTATGAACAGATTCATATTCTTATATTGAGCTTCATTACAAAGCTTTCAGGATCAATTATATATATATAATTTTGTCTGTTTTTAAGAGAGTGAGTGTGCAAGCCAAATGTGCGTGCATGAGGCAGGGGAGAGGGACAGAGAGCATCTTAAGCAGGCTGCACGCCCAGCCCAGCACAGACCCTGATGCAGGACTTGATCCCAGGACCCTGAGATTATGACCTGAGCCAAAATCAAGAATCAGACGCTTAACCGACTGAGCCACCCAGGAGCCCCTCAATTAGAGTATTTTTAAAGAACACCCCATGTTAGGTATTGTGACAATAAGTGTGAGACGTGGGCACTCACACCATTGCCACTGCAGGGAAGTGGATCAGGGTGCACAGACAGGATGGGCCTTCCAGCCCTGAAATTTGGGCCACTTGGTGGTGGTGTTGGGAAGGCAGAGGTCTGAGGGGGATCCCCTCACCTGGGTTTATCTTCGCTTTCATGCTACTGTAATGTTTGCCACTCTTTTTGGTTTTGTGAGGCAACTAATCAAAATTATTCTGCTGTTTTTTAATTCTGGCTTAGGAAAGTCTAGTGGTGGTCATTCACCTACCCTGAAGGGGAGTGAGGATTTCATAGCTAATTGAACCCCATAGAGAACCTGAAAACAGTTGTAGTGTGTTTTGCTTTGAACATAGCCTACATAGAAAAGTCATTTATACCTGTAATGTGGGTACCAGTGTAATCACAACCCAGGTAAAGAAATAGGCCATTGTTAGCACAGAAGTGTGGGAAACAGCCCTTGTCACAATTATCAGCATTTTGCTAATTTTTTTTGTTTGTTTTTATGATTTATCTATTCATTTGAGAGAGAGAAAGCGCATGTGAGCAGGGTGGGGGCAGAGGGAGAGAGAATCTCAAGCAGACTCTCTGCTGGCACAGGGCACAATGTGGGGCTCTATCCCATGAACCTGAGATCATGACCTGAGTGAAATTGAGGGTTGGACGCATAACTGGCTGAGCCACCCAGTTGCCCCCCCCGTTGTTTTTTTTTTTTTTTTAAGATTTTATTTATTTGAGAGAGAGTGAGTGGGAGGGAGGAGGAGAGAGAATCTGAAGGAGACTCCACGCTGAGCGCAGAGCCCTATGTGGGGTCAATCCCACGACCCCAAAGATCATGAGCTGAGTAGAAATCTAAAGTCAGATGCTCAACTGACTGTGCCACCCGGCGCCCCGCAGATGGTTTTTTCAAATAATAACTCCTCTCTGTTGAAGTGTACTATTTGTACAGAAAAGCGTATGTATCATATAACATGTGTAACTTGATGAATTTTCACAAAAACTCACCCATGTAATCAGAACCCAGATTTAAAAATAAAAAGTTACCAGGATGTCTAGGTGGTTTTTAAGTATGTTTCATGACTCATACACGTATGAGAAGAAGTTTCCTCTTAGATGAAAGCAGAAAGATTTCATCATTTTCACCTGTCAAGGGGGTGGGGTTGGTGGCAACAGTGTCCAGTGGTGGCCAGGACGGAAGTCTCACATGCTGTTGGTCAAAGGCTATCAGCAGGTGGCCTGACAGCGCCTTGCCTGTGTGCACTTGGAGTTTGAGGTTCCTGACAGCAGCTGCGCCATGGAGACGGTCGGGACAGTGTCGATCACTACCTTTAATTGGAAGCCTTGGGACTCATACAAAGGAAGGAGGTCCTTGATGAGGCAGTATCCTGTCCCTAAGGCAGCACTCAGCTGTTTCTGTGTGCACGGATGCTGTGGGTGACACTCTGGGAAAAGTACAAGCTGAGGACCAGAGTGGAGGGTGTGGTCTTATTTTGTGTAAAGCAGAAATAAAGGCTGGGAGACATGTATGTGCCCCATGGGGGAGGGAAGAGCTCACTTTTCTGGAGTTCCCCTGTTGGAGCTGTGCACAGTGCTCTGTTGCTTCTGCACCACTCGGAGGCCGACAGGTGTGTGTGCTGTTGCTCTGCGTGAGGCTGGCCTCCTGTAAGTTCTCAGGGTGGCAGTGGGACAGACAGCAGGGTGGACGATACTGTCTGTAGAAGTAAGTGTTGACATCTTGAAGTGGGGCTGAAGGTAGTTTTTTCATCTTAACAAACATCTGAGTTTTTGCTAAATATTATCTGAATTAATCACCAGGACACTTTAAGAGGAGATGCTGCCATCTCTGTTTTATGGGTGAGAAAGCCACAGAGAGGTAACTGCTCTACCAGATGGAGGCCTGCGTCTGCGTGCTGGATGACGGAGCTTGTTCTAACAGCCTGGCCTTCATGGTGACGTGGGGGGGATGGTGATTTGTCTGAGGACAGGGGCTCAGGTACTGTATATGGGAGAAAAAGGAGGAAAACTTACCTTCCATAGCTGTCATATATGTTGTGCTAAAAATTTAGTGGCCAGTGGGCTCCTAGTCACCTTCTCTAAGCCTAGAGTTGATTCAGATCTCATACCAGCAGTAAAGAGGCAGTTGCAAGGTGTTTAACTGTGGTCTTCTCGTTTGTTTTAGTCATGTGATCTTGTTTTAATTACCTTTTTAATATACGAAGCTGGGCATTTTTTTTAATTCCACAAGTGTAGACTGAGGGTCCGCTTCATATATACCAGGGATTCTTCTAAGCTCTGGGTTATAGCAGTGAACCCAGCAGGGAAGGGCTTTGCTCTCATGGAGATTGCATCCTACCGAGGATGACAACAAGCGATTGTGGCCATAGTGAAGGGCAGGACAGTTAGGGAAGGCTCTTGGATAGGTGGGTGAGGTGTAGGAGGGCGCCTCCTGCAGCAAGTGAGAGCAGGAAGGGATGAGAGGCAGGGACGTGGGGTCTGACTCAGGTAGGAGCCTCTGGGGAGTTGGAAGTGGAGGAAGGACAAGGGAGGGAAGGGGTAGTACCCAGTGGCAGGAAGGGGGAGGCTGACTTTCCCTCTGGCCTTTTTTGTGTCTTTGAACACTGTATGCAGATTTTTAGAAACTTCACTGTAGCCACTGGGTGCAGACGGGCTAAGGCAGGAACCTTTGAGAAGGGCTAGGCAGGGGAGACCAGTAGCAGGTGAGGGGCATGCCCAAGGCATCTCTTCTCTGTGCTGGGACTGTCCATGCACTGCCCAGTGTCCCTGGTAGCTGAGAATCACCACACAGAAGCAGACTGGGGGTGGAGGGGGTGGTATGGTAACTGGTGGTTGGGGCTGTAGATATATGGGTTTTCCCACTAGTGTTTGCATGCATTGATGTTCTGGGGTGTCTTTGTGATTCTGTGACACGTTGTCACCTGTATAGGTTTGTCTTAATGGTATTATGATTGAGATGCAGATGACAGATCCGGCACGCAGAGGACCCCCTCCTTCCCCCAGCCCCTAGCTACCACTTACCTGTTCTCCAAGTCTGTGATTTTGTCATTTTGAAAGTGTTAGACCTAGGGGCACCTGTGTGGCTCCGTCAGTTAAGCATCTGCCTTCGTCTCAGGTCATGATCCAAGGGTCTTGGGATCAAGCCCCGTGTCGGGCTCTGTGCTCAGTGGAGAGCCTGCTTCTCCCTCTCCCTCTGCCCCCTCCCCCATTGTGTGCACTTGCTCTCGCTCTGTCTCAAATAAATAAATAAAATCTTAAGAAAGAGAAAGGCAGGAGGGAGGGAGGGAAAGAAAGGAAGGGAGGGAGGGAGGGTTACCTAAAAGGGATTAGGGAGGATAAAACTTCTGGGGGCTGGCTCTTTCACTCAGCACACGGCACCCTGCGCAGTGGTTGCTGCACCAGTAGCTCATTCCGTTTTGTTGCCGAGTGGTGTTCCATGAGGTGATGAACCACAGTTTTTACTTCCATTGGAGGGCATTGGAGTAGTTTCCCGTCTTTGTTCCAAAGAAAGCTGCTGTGAGCATTCCTGTACAGGTTTCTGTGTGAATGTGTTTGTTTCTCCTGGCCCAGCTTGGTTCTCATCCTCTGATACACATGTGTGACTTCAGGAGAAACTGCCAGGCTGATTTCCCAGAAGGCTGCACTTCTTTACCTTCCCACCAGCAGTGTAGGTCATCCTCACCGTTACTGGTGTTGGCAGTCCGGTAAGTTTTACCCATTCCAGTATTGAGTGATATCTCGTGGCAGTTTTAATCTGCCTTGCCCTAATGGCTAGTGAGGTCGAACATCTCTTCATGCTTATTTGCCACCTGTATATCTTTGGTAAAGTGTTTTTTGTTTTTGTGTTTGTTTTTTTACTTTTTGCCTATTTTCTAACTGGATTGTTTGTTTTCTTATTGTTACCTTTAGATAGACCTTTATAGTCTGGATATGAGTTCTTTGTTGATATGTGATTTGTAAAAATTTTCTCCTGGAAGGTGAACAAGGCAAAAAGATGGCCTGTCTTTTTAGTGTCTTAACAGGGCTTCTGGTAGAGCAGATGTTTTCAGTTCTGATGATGGGTATGTTCTGAGATGAGAGCTGATGGCTTAGCAGGTAGGCTGGGTGAATCCTGTGTTTCTGGCCTGAGCAACTGGGTGATACCATTCACTGCCAAGGGGAGCTCTGGGAAGGAGCTGGTGTGAGGTCTTATTAGAGATGCCCAGTGTGGGTACAGAGGGCAGCATCAGGAAGGTGGTGAGAGATTAGGTCCAGAGTGTAGGAAATGTGGATTTTGGAGTCGTTTGGGAGTGTGTAGAGGTGAAGGTCACAGGCCTGGCTGAGCTTGCCCAGGCAGTAAATGTGGACAGAGAAGCACAGACACTGGAGTCTTGGTCTGGGGCATTAGACATGGGGATGTAAAGGAGAGTCCAGTATGGATTGAAAAGGAGCCCCAGAAGGTAGGAACAGGGAAGGGTGTGGGTGCTGGGTGCCAGGAAGGAGGCAGTCACTCAGGTTCTGCTCTGTCTAGTGAGACTGCAGGACTGACTGGTGTGCCTCATGAGGGAAGTAAAGAGGCAGGGAACCTGATGTCAGTGCATTCGAAGGAGGGAGTGTAGGGGGAGGAGACCAGGCAGCAAGTGTCAAAACCTTGCCAAATGGCATCCTTTCTAGCCCTTAACTAGAGCATTGGGAAGAATTACCTTGAAAATGTCACCAGAAGTGGGAGGGACCTCTGCTCTCCATGCTGGATCTTTCCGTGGCAGGCGGAGCTGACCACCAAGACGGGTGCCCTGGGATGGACATGTAGAGGTCAGCTGGTTGTTTGGCCATTTATATACACACAGATCAGGTGCTATTTAACTGGATGTGTGATCAGGGAGAGACCAGGAGTCTGTGGAGCTATTTTTAAATTTTATTCTTTAAAGATGTTTGGGTTGCATTACTTTTTTTTTTAAATGAATATACTTCAGTTATGTCAAGGAAGCTATATTAAAGGTAAACCAGAGTATTGAACTGTAAACCTTTTCCTCCGAAATTTAGTATCTCTGGCTCTTGTTTGCTCAGTAAAAAAGGTGATAGGATTCTTCAAAAGGAATGATTTTTCTTTCTTAATTAAGAAACAGCCACAAAATTGCGTTGCTTTAATGACCCAGATAGACCTGTGTATTTATTTGCAAAGGAATAATGCAGATTAAGTCATGTTTGAGTCTTTTTTCTCCTTATATTTGGCTGGTCTAAAGAACGTATTTATTTACTAGTGTTTTAAAGTCATGAAATGCCTTTTTGTGGTTTCATTCATTAAGCGAATCGTAACACATGCAGGGAGCTTGGAGTGGGCTTCTCGAGGGAGCTTGAAGTGGGCTTCTCGGTGGCTTCTCCACACAAGATGAAGCTCCAGTGGCATTTGGGGACTCTTGGGCTCTGTGTCCTGCTACGGATGGGACGGGACACCCCATCCTCCAGTTTGGCAGACAGGTGCTGACAGTTGGCTTTTCTTTTTCAGGTGCACGTTCAGGTTCCCGAGCACAAACATCAAGATCACGTTCACTGCCCTGTCCAGTGAGAAGAGAGAGAAGCAGGAGGCCCCCGAATCCCCGGTGAAGCCTGTGCAGGCCCACATCTCTCCCCTGACCATCAACATTCCAGATACCATGGCCCACCTCATCAGTCCCCTTCCCTCCCCCACAGGAACCATCAGGTACAGCAGCTTATGTGGTGGGTGGGCGTCACCATAGGGTCGGGTTGTGGGGGCTTGCCTGCTGAGCTGTCCATGACCACATCCCAGTTTCATTCCTCACCTCCTGCCTTGGGACTTGCAGAAGCTGTCATAAGTCACAGTAACGTGCAGGAGCACATAGCAGTGCCGCTCCCTTCCCAGGGTGGACATAACGCAGAGAGGGAGGTGTGAGGGCGCTGCACATACCGTTCAGTTTTCAAACACCCTTTGCTCCCAGTTTCCTGCGTGTGAAACACAGTTCCCAAATGTTCTTGGCCTTCACTTATGGACTTTCTGTATTTGAGTGTAAGTTGAAGGGGCAGGTGATTACCATTTTGGTCTAAACTCTGATATGTTTTCATTTGCATGTTGAGTTTTTTTAGTTTGGTGCAATTTCCTTTTTTTTTTTTTAAGATTTTATTTATTTATTGGACAGAAAGAGTGAGAGCACACAAGCAGGGGAAGCAGTAGAGGGAGAGGGAGAAGCAGGCTTCCCGCTGAGCAGGGAGCCCGATGTGGGCCTCGATCCCAGGACCCTGAGATCATGACCTGAGCTGAAGGCAGGCGCTTAACCATCTGAGCCACCCCGGTGCCCCGAGTTTGCTGCAATTTCATGTAAATTCTGGTGACTTGTACTTTGGATTGATGAGTTTGATCACAGTGAAGCGACAAACTTGTGTTTGTCATGTCTTAAGAGAGACTGGGTGCTTTACGGAGCAGAGGTGAGCGGCTTCGGGGCACGCTGTCGGTGCAGAAGCCAGAGTACAATGGTCAGGTTGTGCTGAGCTCTCAGAGGACAGTAGCTGAGGGTCAGGTCAAGAACAGCCACGGGATCGTGCTGACGTGTGTGCTTGGAGCGGGTTAGATTGCCGCGTGTGGTTGAGGTGGAACTCTGCTGTGAGGCATCAGTCCGCTAGGTTCTCTTGGCTCTCAGAAGAGGGGAGGAGTGATCTTGGCTGTGAGTGATGGAGATGGAGGTGCAGAGTGAACACCGTGCTGCTCTCTTGATCAGGCCCCTGCCATCCAGCTCTGTCCAGGGCACGGCTGGGCGGCGGGGTGGGGTTTGTCTCGTCTGCCCAGGCTGATGCTCCGTGTGGCAGAGCCAGGGAGGGCACACGGAGAACTGGCGGCTCTGGCTTACGCCTTTCAGCTGAACACTTCTATTTCCTGTCTTAAAAGCGAGCATCAGCAGTAGGCCTCCTGGGAGGCTGTGTGTGTTGGTTTACTTGTAAGTGGGGGGAGTGGTGAGTGGACTGGCTGTGCTCCTGCGGCCGCGGGCCTGGTGTCTTGCGTGGCAGCGGCCGGCGGCCCCTCCCTCCCCTGCCTCCTCCTGCGGCTCTCTGCTGGCTGCCCCACTTAGCTGACTGCGTCTGCATGTGACTGTGGGGACCAAACAGCCACTGTGTCCATGCAGAGGCAGCCGTCGGCAGCCGCGTGGCCAGATTATTGCTCAGCACTGTGTGAAAGTACGCTGGTCACAGAGGAAGTGGAGCAAGCCCTGTGTCCCCCAGTGGGAGAGCGGCCCACAGTGGGTGCTGCAGCCGTGGAGGCAGCACCCCAACTCACTAGACAAGTGGGCGTGAACACTCGGGGGGCGGGGGGGTGGGAGGGGAAACAGCTCCTGACCCACAGCCTCTCCTCACCTTCTGCTCTGTCTTCCTCTTACTTTCCTTGCCCGTCGTCCGTCCTCACGCCCCGGTCCCTCACACTGTGGCCAGCGTTGAGCCGTGTAGTGCCCTCACTGGGCAAGACAGCCACGTGGGAGCCTGGCTGTGGACAGCCTATGGTGGAGCCGACTTGACTTTTCCAGACCCAGCGTCCAGCCCCGTAGGGCCACTCACCTTCCCCACGTCAGCACTTCTCACACATTAGCTCATCTTCAAAACGGTGAAGTGTAGGTTCCGCTCAGTCCTGCTGCTCCTCTCCTGGTACTTTGAGAGTGGTTCCTGGCCTGAAGTAAACACCCATCCAGTGCGTGCATGCTCCTGGGGGGGCGGCTGGTACTGCTGTGGAGGGTGCCGGGCCAGGAGCGTGTCGCCCCCTCCCCTTGCCTCTCCTGCTCCACTCTCAGCTCAGGTTTTTGGAGGTAACTCCTGTTTCTGAGGTATTTTTTCCAGAAATTTTCTGTATATTTGCAATACTTGTCTTCCCCTCCCCACCAAATACAACTCCGATCTAACCACACATACTGTTGTGTAACTTGATGGATTTCTTAGACTGTCTTGTCTTGGTGTCCTTCCGCTTCCGTGGCTCGTTCTCTTTTTAAAGTCTGGTCCTGGGGCGCCTGGGTGGCTCAGTTGTTAAGCGTCTGCCTTGGCTCAGGTCATGATCCCAGGGTCCTGGGATCGAGCCCTGCATCGGGCTCCCTGCTCGGCGGGAAGCCTGCTTCTCCCTCTCCCACTCCCCTGCTTGTGTTCCCTCTCTCGCTGTCTGTCTCTGTCAAATAAATAAAATCTTTAAAAAAAATAAGTAAATAAAGCCTGGTCCTGCATAGAAAAGGGAACGGGAGCTCAAATGTGCGGTTTGGGGAGTTACCACAGATGAGTATGGATGGCCTTCAGTTATCACCGAGATCAAGAAGCAGCACCCCAGCCCTGCCTGGTGAAAAAAAGCACATGTGTTTAAAAATGGGTTTCTTGGATGCCCAGCTGGCTCAGCCTATAGAACGCGCAACTCTTGATCTTGGAGTTGTGTGCTCCAGCCACATGTTGGCAGTAGAGTTTGCTTTAAAAATAAATAAATAAATAAATAATCGGGAAAAAATAGGTTCCTGTTTCTGTGTTTGGGGTGTCTTGTGTCCAACTGACCTGACACATGTGTTCCAGGGCCTGATGCCGCCTGGGTCCATGTCCACGGCCTCATTCCCTTTGTGTTGCCTGGGCTTGGCCTGGCCGCCTTCCTCTCTCTCCAGACTGTCCCTGACCTTTCTGGTGTAGCTGGAGGCCATGTCCCTTGGTGGGAAGGGAGTCAGCGGAGCATGTGCTCTGTGTCCCTCTGCCAGGTTGGAGCCCTGGGGCCATCGCTTTTGGTTCTGTGTCCTTGGTAAGTTCCAGAACCATCCTGAGCCTTAGTTTCCTCACTGGTGAAACAGGTGGACCACCTCCCCCTTTGAGAGTTTGTTTTCTGATTATGTAAAGGGAACACATGGGAAGCAGATACCTGATTTCCATGTGTTTCCTGGAGTGATCCTAACCTTCATAGAGAACTAGTGAGGCCATGTTCCATAGGAAATTCTGATATGCTCCTATTTTGTACTTGAAATCAGAACGGGTCATGGAAGCACAGTGTGACATATGTTCTGTAATAGACTGATAGCAGTGACCTTTTCCCATCCACAGTGCTGCAAACTCCTGCCCATCCAGCCCCCGGGGAGCAGGGTCTTCGGGGTACAAAATGGGCCGTGTGATACCAGCTGACCTCAATTTAATGGCCGACAACTCACAGCCAGAAAATGAAAAGGAAGCTTCTGGTGGAGACAGCCCAAAGGTAAATGTTTTATAGCCTTGAAACAGAACCCAGGGGCCATCACACAGCCAGCTGTCCTCCCTTCATTGTCTGCAGGTCTATGAACACCCCCACCAGGGCCTTTGAGAAGTGCACGTCAGAGTGGATGCACGGCTGGTTGTGGGGCCCCTCCCTATTGAGCATGTTCTTGGGGTGGGGGGGTCTTGAATTCTTTTGGTCATTTAGCACTGGGTGCTCCCCATTGGCAGCTGTGGACCCAGGTGTTGAGAGCTGAGCCGGTGAAAGACAAGAGAAGCCTGTGGTCCTCACAAGGTGATGTGCACTGTGGCCCAGGAAACTGTTCCTGGGGTTTCGTCCTGCTGTCACAGATGCGGAAGGTTGTGCGTGCACTTTGTCTGAATGCACGTGTGCACAGAACACACATTTTTGAGATGGTCCACGCTGTAACCCTGCATGTTTTTATTCTTTGACCCAGGAATGCCCCTTCTAGGACTGTGTCTAAAGGAAATGGCAAAAATCTCAAACACAAGTTTATATAAAATAGAAAATTTAAAGCAGCCTAAATGCCCCATAAGAGAAGAATGATCAAGCAGGGGACTATCATGCAACATAGCTAACGATGTGGAAGTGTCCTTGGCATAATGCTGAGGGAAAAACATAAAGCAATGCATAGTATTATTTTAGTTACTTGTGTATGAAATGTAATGTATTTGCGCAGTAAAACACGGCACGGCCGTGGGATGGATGCCCCGTAGCCATGCACTGCCTGTCTGCTGCAGCCAGGAGCCTTGTACACGAGGTGTCCTGGGCAGGGGAGGCAGGTACAAAGAGGCACCCCTCTGTGGGATTCCATTTTGTCCATTTGCCTATCTAAAATCAGTCAGAACTAAATTGTATTTTTTCAGGATGCATTCTGAGATGATAAAACTTGTAATTAATCACAACAAGACTGTGATTACTGTAAAATGTCATGAATAATGGTAGAGGCTATGGGCTCGGGGCATATGGAAGCTTCTGGCATGTGGGCTGTCTGTTCTCTCTTGACCTAGTGTTGGTTGTACTGACATTCACTTTATAAAAATTTGTTTTCAGCTGATAAGGATGTATTAAGGGCTTTCCTGCCCATGTTGCATTTTTTAGTAAAAAAAGTTTTTAGGAACATATAGAAGAAAGGTAACAAGGAAACACACTGAATGGCAGAAGCGCAGTGAAGAAGGCTTCGTGTTCTCTCCCTGGTCCCTGGGGTGGTCTCCAGTGGTGCCAGTCTGCCTGGCCCTTCCATGTAACTCAGAGTGTGTCCACTCAGCATAGATGGGGCAGAGCCCAGTGTAAGTGCTCAGGAGATACTAGCTATTTAAAAGTGGGGTGCTGCGGTTGTAGATGATTCCGTCTTTCTGTGTGGAACATGTCCCCACCGCTGGCCGTCAGGACGGAGCATGGCCTGGGCAGCTGAAGCCCACGTTCCTCTCCTTAGCAGGTCTGTCCTCCTGCCTTGTCTGTCTGTCAGTCCTCTGCTTGTCTCTTCTTTTACTCCCCTCGTGTTTATCCCTAAGCAATGTCCAAATTGCTCATTTTTAAACCTCATGTAACAAGTATCATCTTGAATATATTCTTTTGCAGCTTCCTGTTTGCATTCACTATTATGCTTCGTGGTTCATTTAAGTTGATTCGTACATTCTCCAGTTCACAACCAGGGGTGGACCCTCTCCCCAGTGGGCTTATTCACGTGTACGTGGGGTTCTGAGCTGTTACAGTGACAAGGAGCCACTTGTGGCCTGGAGTGCGCTGGAAGCAGGGATGTCCATGTTCTGCGGTGGGCACAGCAGCCCTGCACACTGGAACAGCGCCCGCCTGAGTGCCTGAGACCCCAGGGTTGAAGCCTGACGTCTGGCATATGGTGCTTCCCTCTGTGGGGTTTCCTAATGTGAGGAGCTTCTCAGTTGATGGGATGGGGCAGTTCTGAGTGGCTGTCACTTTGGCCCTCGTGTGTGTGAGGACCCACCAGGGCCTGGGAGGGAGTCTCCTCCCCTCACCATCCTGACTCTTCACTCGATTGCTAGATCCATGTGACGTGCCTCTGGCCATGATTTAACATGTGTTGCCCTGGACTCTACTGAGGTCAAGTAGCTTTTTTCTTTTCCTTATGTTTTTCGTATTCGCCGTGTGGAGTTTCTCCTTATGTGGTTTTAATATTTGTTTTTACACTGCTTGTGCATTTTTCCATTTGCTTCCTATAAACTTTCCAAATGCTTTTCAATCAGATATTATTTTCATAGTAAGGAAAACTAAGCATTTCAGAGGAACACTTAAAAACATCAACAATCCTGAATTTTAGTGAACTTAGTAAAAATTTTGATAACTTCAATAATCTCTCTTTTTTTTTTTAACTTAAATACAGGATGATTCAAAGCCTCCTTATTCCTATGCACAATTAATCGTACAAGCAATTACGATGGCTCCTGATAAGCAGCTTACTCTAAATGGAATTTATACTCACATCACTAAAAATTATCCATACTACAGGACAGCGGACAAGGGCTGGCAGGTAAATCTGTTTCGGTTTGTTATGAAATGTTGCTGTGATATGTCAGTAGGTGCTGATTGACACCTGAGAGAACACTTAAGCTGCTTCCCGTACCTTGGGCACAGGGCAAAGGTAGAGGGAGACCCTTTTTTGCTAAGGGAGGAGGAAGTGTTGTAGGCCACCGTCCCTACGCTCTGACCTCCGCACAGAGCAGAAGGAGGAATAGTGGCTCTAGAAGCAGACCTTAGCCTGTGGTTTTTATGGTCACTGTCCCCACGGATGGGAAAGGCATGGATTATTTGAAAGGTTTCCCTTCAACCATTGCAATTAACTCCCTGTGTCTGAAGTAAAGTTAAAAACCCAGCCCTTCACTTAGGCTTTCTTCTGTCTTCCTTATCTGCATCTGCTGGTGTACCTAGCTTCTTGAAGTCTACACAGATCGTTTTCAGACTGTTTATCAAGGAACCCTTTCTTCAAAAGACCTTCTCCCATTGGGCCATACATGAACACAGATAAATGTGGTGCTGCCCTGCGTAAATTAGGGAGTCCTCCTGCTTGTGCACCTGTGCTTTCAGATCATTCCTGGGCTGTCTGGAACCTGGTCCTTCTCAGAGGACTCTTTGAAAAACCAGTGCATATTTCCTTGTTCAGCTTTTTAATTTAGTTTAGTTTTTAAACTTTGTAGTTTTTTTCTTCTGTGTGTCTGTGTTCTATGTGTCTGCTTACTGGATGTTTAGTAGGACCTCTCTAATTCAGGCAATATGGGAAAGGCAAATCTGAAATACAGAATATTAAAAACATAATAAAAGAAGAAACATAGGTTTGCAGTTCTTGAATTCATTAAGTCACAAGGAATGGCAACAGTCTTCCTTTCAGGCTTAGTGAGTAAATGATCCTCTGAGAAATGTGTTTGCTGAACCAACCATAACCATAACCTAGTGATGGAGGTGGGGGGAACCTTTTTCTGTTTAATGAGGGGCAAAAACTTTTTTCTTCCTCCTGTAGACATATAAACATGTTATAATAAAAATAGTCCATCAGCCAAATCCTGAACATTTCCTTTGTAAGGGGTCTTTAGTCATGTAAGGGTCTTTGATTGTGGAAGGTACAAAGTAAGACCCATCCTCCCCTCCCGGCCTGGGGCATCTGCACCCTGCTTGCCTCCCTGTGTATGGCTAGGTGGCATTTCTTAGTTGGCAGTGAGGAGAATGCTGGATTTGGAGAACACTTTGATATCCAGCTACCTGGCAGGTCTCTCAGCACATTGGACAAGAAATCCCTGTGATACTGACCATGTTTTAATCTAGAACAGTGAGGTTGTGCTTCAGAGAAAATGTAAAACAGAGGAAGCAGAACCAGATGATAATCTATGTCCGTGTCTGGTGATTGTACCTGGAACAAAGCTCCTATGTGTGGGCAGGTGAGGTTTCAGAATGCCCTGTCAGGAGTGTGGTAGGGTTTCGTAAGCACATTATGTGCAGAATTCTGGTGATTGGAAACAGCAGTTAGCTGGGCTTAATAGGAGTGAGTATTTCTGAAAAGCCTGGCCAGGCTTTGAATGATCTCTTTCCCTGTGTTTCCTTAACATCCATTTATGCGAGAACTGCCTCCAAGCATCATGTGGTTTTCTGGCCGAGGGGCAAAGGCCAGCTCTCAGGGGTGGCCGCCTCCTGGCTTCAGTCTTGTGGGGAGTTAGTCGGGTCAGGTGCAGTCCCCACGTGCACTGATTGCTCCTGGGCACTGGAAGTGACTTCGTAGCATGCTGAGAGCAGAGAACAGACATAACTGCTGCAAGGCAGGCACCCTCTCTGTTCAATTGTCATTAATGTTTTTATTGAAACATCTTCTTTTCTGTCTAGATCAAGGTCCATAAGGGTGACTCTGCGCCTCTTGCCCATGTCAGGCTCCTCCTGAGACATTTCATACTTCCTGGCTCCAGCATTTTAGCAGGAAAAGGATTTCCTGCTGCACGCCTCCCTTTAATTCATGGACATGCACTCAATTTCTTTCTGTCCTCAGAGGTCCTTAGCTGTCCCCAGTACTGACCCACATGTGTCCTTTTTCTGTCATGAGAATTCTCTGAGGTGCCCTTCCCAAAGAGACCATGCTTAAAGTCTTTGTATGTATGGAGACCTTATTCCCATTTCCTCACTCTTGGCTTAAAACAAAAAAAGCCTTTCCGTTTTGCAGCCTTGTTTCATAAAAGAGCCCGATCTGTTTTCTTTGCTAGGATTTTCTTTGCATAGAGAGTAGGGGGAAGACTGTCACCTAAAACAGCCCATTTTTAAAATGTGGGTTTCCAGGGGTTCCTGGTTGGCTCAGTTGTTTAAGCGTCCAATCTTGATTGATTTTGGCTCAGGTCATGATCTTGGGCTCGTGGGATCAGGTCCTGTGTCGGACTCTGCGCTCAGCGGGGTGTCTCCTTAGGGTTCTCTCTCCCTCTGCCCCTTCCCCCAGCTCGTGCTCTCTCTCTCTCTCTCTAAAATAAAGAAATATTTTTAAAAATTAAAAATATGTGGGTTTCCAGACTGCCTCCTGCCCTCCCCTGTGGGGTGAGGGAGGTGGCTGTGCAGGGAGAATGGGACCTGGTGGGCTTGAGCCCCACGCTCTGCATCAGTTCCTAAGAGACGTGTGTTGACACTCCCGCCCCGCCTGTTCTGAGTACCCAGTGGAAGTCCACAGCTACTTTTCAAGCTTACTTTTGGCATTTTGCATTGTCTACCCATGGCAAAGCTTTTTGATTGGTCTAGAAGAAACTCTAGAATAAAGCAAGTTCTGGACTGTGTCTGGAAAGATGGCATATTTCTTTCCTTTGGTTGCTTGTTTATGCCAGAATGTTTTCTTATTATTTATAATTATAATTTTACCCAGCCCAGAGTTAGAGGTACTTGTTATGATTAGAAGATTTGAATTTTGGGCCTCTGGGCCTCTGAAAGGACCAGAGCTGGTTTTTTGAAATAGAGGGAGTGCTTTGGGTTCACCTCATTCTGCACATTGAACTCGCCTCCTGGAAGGTACTTGACATGTCCTCATCAGTTTCTTTACGAGTCCTTAGTAGAGCGTTCAGTGTGATTGGGACAAATAGAAACTAGAGTCTAGGCAGGAGTGCCAGAGGCGCTCACAAGGACGGTGACCAGCTCTGCACCTTCCCCCTGGGTCTGGGTCAGCTGAGGGGCCGGGAGGGAGGAGGGGCTGTCGTTCAGGGTTCTGGGAAGCAGCCTTGAGTGGGGCGGGGGTTGGGGGGAAGAGAATGTGCTCAGTATTGCAGATCCTTTTCTCTGTAGTTCGTTATAAAGAATAATAAGCTGCCTTTTCTCTGCATATAATAATTCTTGAATCATTAGAGTCTGAGTCAGTGTGATTTTAGTGTATGTAGCTTGACTTGATCAAATTACAAAGGTCTTAAATTACCTTAGAAATACAGTTACTTTATTCCATCTCTGTCTGCATTAGATATCTCTTACTACTTACTCACATTTTCTAGTCTCTTTGGCTAGAAAATCACAGCCTCTTTGTTCTGTAGGCTCATTGTGAGTGGAGAGGAGGTTAGACCCTGTTGTGATGGTGCCTAAAAGGTTCTGTCGCATTTTCAGGACAGAAAATAGCAACTCCTTCCTCTCAGAACTTGCATACAGCTTGTCGGTGGCATGAGGGTCATGGAACCACAGCCCCTGGTCCTGTTCTCTTTTACCAGGGGGAAGAAATACTAGTGCCATAGTCCCCTGGAGTGGCACTTCCTGCCTCCAGATGCCCCCTGTGCTCACTTCCCTTTTTCCTCCTAGCAACACCACATTACAGGATTAACAGCCTTCGGCAGGGGCTCCTGAACAACCTCCCACGTTTTTCACTGCGGCTTGGCAGTCACTTCTGAGGGCCTCTTGACCCTCACTGGGCAGTCGTAAGGATTGTCTTGTTCACAGGGGGAGTGCTCTGTAGTGTCGTGGTCTGGGTCTGCTTTTCTCAACCCACAGTCTTGGAGTCTACCTTCTTTCCCTTCCAAACATAGAATGTCTGCGTGTATTTGGAGGAGGATTGTCTTCTTTCTCTGGTGGAGGCACCAGTAACAATTTGATTTTCTGGAGGAATTAATAGAAAGGTATTGTTGGTTATTAGCTAAACCCTGTGATGAAACATAATAGTAAGTATCTGTGGTTATTAAAATATTCCAAATCTCACAGAATGCATTTGTTTGTAAACAATTTCACAAAACACAGACACAATCTAGCCTGCACCTTCATGTTGCCAGCGAGGTGACTGGCTTCCACAGGCTTACATGGTGTTCATCACAGCCCATGACTGGTGCGACACTTGAGCAGTCCCCGAGATGGGCTGTAAAGTAGAATTTGATACATTTTGATTTCTGAGCCCACCTCTGGCAAATGCAGTATTTCAGGCTGTGGCTAACAGTTCTGTTAGAAGGTTAATTGGGAGGAATTTAAAAGTGATTTTTGAATAGCCCAGAATTTTACTGTGAGTTACCACCATTTTGAAACTTTAGTAGTTTGGTTTTGATTTTAATTTTAAATTTAAACATTAATGTAAACACATGAAATGATGTGGATGCATGACTTTCCTCCAGCTGTTCCTGACTTTTTGGAGGGCTCAGGATCAGGTGTGCTACCAAGAGTTATTCAGGTTGCAGTGGGGAGCTTTCCTGAAATCGTCTGTAAACTGTGAGCCAAGCTTTTTGTAATAGAGTAGAGTAGGGGTTGAGAGAGAAGTTTTCTGTATGTGCCTCACAAGATTATTTTGTGGATCAAATTTAAAAAACATATATGGAAGCATTTTGGAAAGTGCTCTTGTTACCGGAAGATGGTGTCTATAATACTTCCCAACGTTTAGCTTATTTTTCTCCTTTGCTGGTTTACTGAATACTTGATACTGGATTAATTCATTTTAGATGGCTATGACAGATTCCTATAAGCTAATTCTGTGCTCAAAAAGATTTTAAAGGATTGGCTTATTTTGGCTCTGTTCATCTCTAAGAAGGGAGAGGCCCGCAGGAAAGGTCAGATGACAACAGTGATAATCCTTGGTTTCCTACCTGGAAAAAAGATGGAAGTTGACATTTTTCCTGTTGGAAATTGCCCCCTTCCCTTTAGTGCCGATTTCCCACCCTTCCTTGTTCCCCAGGTCCCCTTCTTGTCCCCCTGGTGGCCACCCTGCCACTCTGTTCCCAGAGCTGTGTGTCAGCCTCCGGCGGAGGGGAAACACCCTGAGCCCCTTCTTCACTCAGGGGAGAAGGGCTGGTTCCTTCCAGCACAGTGCTGCTTTTAAAGTTGTCTGCCCTCTGCAACGGCTGAGTGCTAGGTTTCTGCTTTGCAGGGCACTAAAACTGGGGCACATTTTGATTTCTGAGCAAAGAAATATATGAATTCTACGTATTTTTTTATGTTTCATAGAATTCAATTCGCCACAATCTCTCTCTGAATCGTTATTTCATCAAAGTACCACGTTCCCAGGAAGAACCAGGCAAAGGCTCATTCTGGAGGATAGATCCTGCCTCTGAAAGCAAATTAATAGAGCAGGCTTTTAGGAAAAGACGGCCTAGGGGCGTGCCTTGCTTTAGAACCCCTCTGGGACCGCTCTCCTCTAGGTAAGGAAAAAAGACAAACAAAAAGACCTCACTTACTGGTCAGTGAATTTACCTTCCATGTATTGGTCAATTTTCCTTTTGCAAGTGAAGGAATTGCCAAATGCATTATGATTAAATGTTTGGGGTGGGGATTTGAAAAGAAGTGTTGGATGCTACCCATGGACTTTTTCTTAATAGTGGTCTGAAACAGTTCAGATTGTTGATGAAGTTTTCTTTAAACTGTGTTCCCATGTTGCCGTTGTGGCTTCATCGGACTCCTTACATAATGCGTTTGATGAGCAGTGTGTGTCCCTTCCATTTGGCATGTGAACAGCTCTTTAAAGCCGCATTCAGGGTTGACTTACACAATGTTAATTGCCTGATTTTCAAATTACACATTTTTAGCTTATAGATACTCTGTTTTTAACAAACAAAAGAAATGACCATGATGTAAATCTTAAGCCCCTGCCTCCTTGCACACTGCTGGCTCCTGATGCTGGTGGACAGGAGCTGCTTCGAGAAGGCAGCCAGTCCAGCTCCGCGGCGGTGTGGCCTGTGCTGGGCATGGAGCTGTGGTTGCCCAGCACTGGCACACTGGCTGTCACAACTGAGTGAGTCTCGCTGGGGATCCATCTCAGGTCATGGGCATTCGCACAGAAAGTAGGACTTACAGAGCTGTAGTCGGTTGGCAGAAGACAGATGACACCCCTTTTTTCGGAATGCACTTTATTGAAACAAGGCAGCTTTATGAGTGCTTTACCTGTAAAAATCCACTGTCTTCTTTTTGGTAATCCAGAAGTGCCCCAGCCTCTCCCAATCACGCTGGAGTGCTCTCTGCTCACTCCAGTGGTGCCCAGACTCCCGAGAGCCTGTCGAGGGAAGGTTCACCAGCCCCCCTGGAGCCTGAGCCCAGCGCCTCACAGCCCAAACTGGCCGTCATCCAGGAGGCACGGTTTGCCCAGAGTGCACCAGGTGAGATGTGCAGAGACAGGGCAGGCATGGTGGGCAAGGGGGTGGGTCAGAAAGGCAGGGGCGCCAGGCTCCTCAGAAGGAATGCAGCAGAGGCCTTGGCTCCTTTGTACCTGGTACTTTCTGCACAGTGTACCTGCATGCTGTAAGCTCTGAAAAGCTAATAGCGCTGTGAGTATTTAAAAAAATGACCGTTTTATGTAAATAGCTTGTGTAGTTGCCTGAAATAATTTAGAATTAATCTGTGTCTTAGTTGCTTCATCATTCAAAAATTATGAGAAAATCCCCCACCCAAAGAAATAACACAAATTAGACAAACTGGATACTGTTTCGCAGCAGAAACTGTTCACTTAATGAATAGGTAAGCATTTCGTTACGAAGTCACAATGCAGAATAAAAATGTGTGCTCTGGAGAATTTAAAAACAAAAAACAAAAAATAATATAGCATGGAAATGTGTCCAAACTAATTCTGTTATGGTTCCTGTTTGGTTTGCAAGATGTGCATTTTGATAGTGGGATTCCTGACCATGCTGACAACATGTCACCCATGTGTAACTCCTGTCACCCGGGTGTCTTTTCCTTTATTCTGTGCCGAAACCAAAAGGAGCAGAGGTTGGTTGGCAGAGCTTCTAACTGTGTCTGGACTTTGCGGTTCCCTTGCACCCACCGTAAGATAAAGACTTTGATCCTGGGGGAGCATGGCCCCCTTGTTTGGGCCTCCATAGGTAGCTTCTTCCCATATACCGTGTCGACATTTTCTTTTTCGTGAGGAAAGAACTGTGGGAAGAGGTGTTGTAACAGATCTGAATAGAGCAAGAATTGCATTTTTTGCAGTCAGATACATGAATTAGGTATCTCCATTAAAATACCCCCTTTCTCTCATCGTGCGTGACTTCACTGTTACAAGGTGAAAGGGGGCACGTCCTCTCATTAGTCTGTGTGTTGTGAGTGGGTCGTTGTACTTGGTCGGCTCTGGGACACAGTTGGAGGAAGATATGGGCGACTGCGCCTCACCCCTGCTCCCTTGTCTGCCACAGGCTCGCCTCTGTCTAGTCAGCCCGTTTTAATTGCCGTGCAGCGGCAGCTGCCGCCGACGATCAAGCCCGTCACCTACACAGTCGCTGCTCCCGTGACCACCTCGACCTCCCAGCAGCCTGTCGTGCAGACGGTGCACGTCGTCCACCAGATCCCTGCGGTGTCCGTCACCAGCGTGGCCGGCCTGGCCCCGGCGAGCACATACACTGTCGCCGGCCAGGCCGTGGTCACTCAGGCGGCCGTGCTGGCCCCTCCTAAGGCAGAGCCGCAAGAGAATGGAGATCACAAAGAAGTAAAAGGTGAGCAACAGAAGTAGTTGCTGCAGGTGGTTTCTCAGGCTCTCAGACGCCCAGCAGACTTGTTCGCCCAGACACCTTTTCTAATCATGTCATGTCTTAGGTTTGCTGGCCACCTGGTGAGATTTCTGTAAGCTTTCCAGTAATATCAGTTGGTATCATTTCTTTGCCTTTTTAAATTTCAGTGAAAGTGGAACCTATTCCTGCGATTAGCCATGCCACACTGGGCGCTGCTAGCCGGATCATTCAGACGCCACAGACCACCCCAGTCCAGACGGTTACCATAGTGCAGCAGGCACCTCTGGGTCAGCACCAGCTACCAATAAAAACTGTAACGCAAAACGGGACTCACGTGGTGCCAATCCCTGCCGCCGTCCATGGCCAGGTGAACAATGGTAAGCAGTGTCCTCCGCGGGTAATAGGGTACAAATATCAAGAGCGAAGATCCTTTGCTCTCCTTTTATGAATGGCAGTGTTTCGTGTTTTGGTTCCGACTGTTAAAATTTTAATTTTTTGTCTGAGGAGATGTTTGCATTTCTAGGCTACAGGAAACCTTTTTTTTTTTTTTTTTTTTAAGATTTTATTTATTTGTCAGAGAGCGCAAGCAGGGGGAGCAACAGAAGGAGAAGCAGGCTCCCCGATGAACAGGGAGCCCGATGCGGGACTCAATCCCAGGACCCTGGGATCATGACCTTGAGCCAAAGGCAGATGCTTTACCAACTAAACCACCAACGCGTCCCTAAACTTATAGGAAACCTGATAGTGCTGTAGGGTACCTGGCAAGTGGTTGTGGGTGTCAGCTCTCATTGGATCCCACTGGAGGAGCCGTTTGGGCAGAGATTAGTGTTTCTGTAAATATTAGAGAGAAACACTTCTGCCTTGTCGTGTGTAGATACCTGGGTGTGGTCTAGAGGTAACAGGAGGTTTGGGTGCTGGTATCCACCTGCTGAAATGCCCCCTGGGAGGGGTGCCTCAGCAGATCTGTCCAGTGGCAGTGCCCTCCCCTGGGCGTGTGTGTGGTGTGCCTGTGTGTCTGACAGAAGCCAAGAGTCCTGTGCACATAGCTCTCTGTGAATGTTCTGACATCACCTAGTAGAGAAGACAGGACAGACCAGGGGAGCTTGGATTTTAAAGGCACAGAGAACTTCCTTTCGCCGAGGCTTGTGGAGCAAGGTGAAGGGTGGGAGTCCAGTGTCCTTACTGCTGCTGCTGTGTGAGCAGTGGCCCCTTGCGAGGCGCGTGGAGCTCTTGCTGTCCGTCAGGACTCAGCAGTGGCCTGCAGAACCCCAGGTCGTAGAGTCGGGCTGCTGGCCAAAAGCAGCTCTGTGTGTCCACAGACAGTTCCTTTGAAAGAGAGTGGGGAACAGAAGTCTTGTGTTGACCTCCTGCTCCTTACTGAGCTGTTACGGAACGGAGGAGACCTGCATGTACCTCATGGGATTCAGATTCCCACTCTGCCTCACCCGAAATGCAATGGAAGAATAAGATCTGGAACCTTTTCTGGGGAAGACTAACCACCTGAGAGTTCTTTGTTTTTAAATAATAGCTGACATATGCCAGCCTGTGGACAAACGGAGAAATTTGCAATGTTACCCATTTAAAATGCTTTCTTCTCAGGCTCTGTGTCTCCTAAGTATCAAGAGTTGTTTGGGCCTTGCTCTTTTCTCTTTGAATAAGTTTGTCACTGTGGCTGGTCTTGATGCAGCAAACTTGTCGGGTCCTGGGTGCAGCTGGAAGCAGGTGGCATTGGGAGGTGGATGGTCGGTCCTCTCCTGGTTGGAGTCCTGCTCAGCGTGTAGCCATGGTGCAGGCCGGTGACTCCCTCTTGGAGGCCCTGCCTGAACAGGTGTGGCCTGGGGGCCTGGGGGCCCAAGAATGTGCATTTCTAACACATTCCAGCTTGTCTGAGAACCACTGGTGCAAGTCAGTGGCCTTTTATGTCCAACTGTCTGCTGGAAGGAGTTGGAAAAACTGTGTATCCCTTTCCACATGGGTAAGATGGTATCTAAAATTCTTCTTTACAAATTTAATAAGGATTAAGTTGTCCACTATTGAAAATACTGATATTTTAAAATAAAAGTTTTACACCATTCTCCTAAATACGCTGCTGGCTCTGAATACTGCCCTGATTTGATAACCACTCTCGGACCGTATCAACACCCAGACAGGCCCTCCTGCCCTTGTCACTGAGTCCCATGCCCTCACGGATCTTGTACGAATGCCAAGTATTTTATGCTCGAATGTGGTTTATTGAGGACTTTTTTTACTCTGCAACAAGAGAATGCAGAAATGTTAAAGATTTAATTGTGACTATAAGGGTTGATTTATCGATTGTTACTACTACGGTCGATCAAAACCAAAAACACAGGGGCGCCTGGGTGGCACAGTCGGTTGTTTCCAACTCTTAGCTTCAGCTCAGGTTATGATCTCAGGGTCATGAACCCGCATTGGGCTCTTTGAGATTCTCTCTCCACCCCCTCTCTGCCCCTCCTGCTCATGCGTGCTCTTTCTCTAAAATAAATAAATCTCAAAAAAACAAACACCAAAAATATAATTCTTATAAATTAAAATTGCATTAAAGATGAATTTCTTAATCTCGGGCTTTAAAGAAAGCCACACAGTTATCATTGACGATCACCGCAGAGTCAGCCCTGAGACCTTGTTCCCTCTCAGAAGAAGGAAGGGTGGAAAAAGTATTGTAACTTCTTCCAGTTTTAGTCATCTTTAAGCAAAAACCATTTTAAATTATCTGTTTATTGGTTCTTTAATTTGGTTGCAGTCTTTCATTTAGAAATCACTGGCTTGGAAAAGGGTTTTTTATCCGGTCAGCAATGATACCACGTCACAGCACCTGTGTCTTCAGTATCCCTTTGTTTCACGCGCCATCCTGACACGCTCCTCCCCAACGGCAGCGCCCAGCTGAGTGGGTGAAGGAGGTGCTGTTGAGAAAGGGGAAGGACGTGGCCGATGAGCTTTTAAGACCCCATGGGCAAGGAGGGTGGCCTGGAGGTAGCTCTCCTTAGTGTCAGGTGTCGCTTGAGTGCTGCATAGCCTGTGACTTCCTTTACCTGTGAAAGTCACTCTTGAGAAAGGAAAGCAGTACCTGTTATTAATCAGTTGTGAAAGTCAGCAGCTTTGATATTTTTTTTTAAGCTTGTTATTATGGAAAATGTCAAACATTTCAGAAATTAACTCAAAGCCGATCTTGTTCCATTCTCCCCCATCTGTTCCCACCCAGATCCAGACGTAGTGTCATTTCATCTCTTAATATTCCAGCATCGCTAAAAGAACTTCCTTGTACTGTGTAAGCACCATACCATTATTGTCATTTTTTAAAATTAGCAATAATTCTTTTATACCTAGTATCTCTTTAGGATTCAAATCATCTATTTCTTTTTTTAAAAATAGTAAAATATACATAACACAATCGACCATTTTAAAGTGTACAAGTCAGTGGCATTAAGTACATTCACAGTGTTTTGAAACCATCATCTCTAATGAGTTCAGAAGAAACTATATACCCAGTAAGCAGCTACTTCCTGGTTCCCTCTTACTGAGCCCCTGGTGGCAGCTAATCTGCTGTCTCTGTGGATATTTACCTACACTGGACATTTCCTGTAAATAAAATATGGGGCTGTTTATATCTGGTCTCTCTCAGTGAGCATCACGTTTTGAGGTTCATCAATGTTGTAGCCTAGGTCAGGTCTTCTTTATGGCTGAATAGGTTTCCATTTTTGTTGATTCATTCATCAGCTGATGGACATTTGGGTTGCTTCCACCTTCTGGCTGTTGTGAATAGTACTGCTGTGAACATTTGTGTATATGCATTGAGTCCTTGTTTTCATTTTGGGGGATTGTAAACCTAGGAGTAGAACCGCTTGTTAATATGGCAAGTCTTTGTTTAATTTATTGAGGAACTGCCAAACTGCCACAGTGGCTACAACATTTTGCATTCCCACCAATGATATGTGAGGTTCTGATTTATCCACATGCTGACCATCACTTGGTATTTTCTGTTGGGTTTTTTTTTCCCCCCAAGGCCATCTTCTTGGGTGTAAAGTGGTATCGTGAGTGTGGTGGTGGTGGTGGTTGTTTTCGTTGTTTTTTAAGAGCAGGAAAGTGGAGGGAGGGGCAGAGGCAGAGGGAGAATCTCCAAGAGATTGCCCCGCTGAGTGTGGAGCCTGGGGTAGGGCTTGATCCCATGACCCTGCGATCGTGACCTGAGCCGAAATCAAGAGTCAAAGGCTCAACCGACTGAGCCACGTAGGCACCCCAGGTATCAGTGGTTTTGATTTGCATCTCCCTTATGACTAGTGGTGTTGAGCATCTTTTCATGTGCTTGGTTATTTGTATGTTTTCTTCAGACAGATGCCTATGTAAGTCTTCTGCCCATTTTTTGTTGAGTTATAGGAGTTCTTTATATATTCTGGATACTAGGTCCTAATCAGATATGTGATTTGCAAATATTTTCTCCCATTTGGTGGTTTTATCACTTCACTTTCCTGATGGTGTCTCTGATGTACCAGTTTCAATTGTGGAATCTGGTTTATCTCTTTTCCCTTTTGTGTCTTACGCTTTGAGGTGTCCTAGCTAAGAATCCATTGCCACATCCAAGGTCATGACTACCTACCCCTATGTTTTCTTCTACTAAGAGCTATATAGTTCTAGCTCTTATGTTTAGGTCTTTGATCCATTTTGAGTTAATTTTTGTATATAATGTGAGGTAAGGGCCTCACTTCATTCTTCGGCATGCGGATGCCTAGTTGTCCCAGCACCATTTGAAGAGACTGTGCTTTCCCCACTGAATGGTTTTGTCACCCCTATTGAAAATCACTTGACTGGAGAGCCTGGGTGGCTTAGTTGGTTAAGCATCTGCCTTTGGCTCGGGTTGTGACCCCAGGGTCCTGGAATTGGGCCCTGTTTTGGGCTCCCTGCTCGGCGGGGAGCCTGCTTCACCCGCTCCCTCTGCCTGCCACTTCCCCTGCTTGTGCTGTCAAATAAATAAATGAAATCTAAAAAAAATAAAAAATAAATTTGTTTTAAAAAAAATAGAAAAATCACTTGATCTCAGATATTTGGCTTTGTTTCTCTCAGTTATATTTCATTGATCTTCGTGTCTGCCCTTATGCCAAAGCCACAGTTTTATTATACTTTTGTAGGAAGTTTTGAAATTGGGAAGTATGAGTCCTCCAACTTTCTTCTTTTTTTTTTTTCAAGATTGTTTTGACTATTCTGGATACCTAACAATTCCATACAAATTTTAGGATCAGCTTTTCCATTTCTGCAAAAAACACATTGGGGATTTTGATAGGGACTGCACTGAGCCTGTAGATTGCTCCAGGCAGTAGTGCGGGGTGAATAGCACGTCCTTCAGTCTGTGAGCGTCCTTCAGTCTGTGAGCATGGACGTCTCCATTTGTTTAGGTCTTTAGTTTCTTTCAGCAGTGTTCTGTAGTTTTCAGTGTAAAAGTCTTGCTTAAATTTCTTCCTAGTTTATTCCTTTGGAATTGTTTTCTTAATTTCCTTTTGAAGTTGTTCATTGCTAAGGTATAGAAATACAGCCAGTGTTTGCCTGTTGATATTGTCCCCTGCAACTTTGCTGAATTCATTTATTAGTTGTAGTAGTTTTTGGTTTAGGGGGTTTTCTTGTGTGGATTTGCTAGGGTTTTATACATACGAAGATTATGTTCTCTCCAGGAGAGATAGTTGTATTTCTTTCCCGTATGGATGTCCTTGACTTCCTTTTGCTGCCTAACTGCCAGGGCTAGAGCTCCGGCGAGCTGCTGGGTCTCAGTGGCAAAAGCATGCACCCTTGTCCTGCCCCTGACTTTAAGGGGAGGGCATCACCTTTCGCCGTCGAGGCCAACGTTAGCTGTGGGTTGTCATCTACAGACTTTATTAGGTTGTTTTCCTTCTTTCTGGTTTGCTGAGTAGCTTTATCATGAAAGGGTGTTGAGTTCTGTCACATGCTTGCTTTTTTTTTTTTTTTTTAAAGAGAGAGTGTGCACACAAGACAAGGGTGGGGGTTGGGGAGAAGGGCAGAGGGAGAAAGACAATCCCAAGCAGACTCCCCACTGAGCAGGGAGCCCTGCCTGGGGCTCAGCCCCATCACATGCTTTTTCTGTGTCAAGATGATCATGGGTTTTTTCCTTTATTAATGCAGTGTGTTGCATTGGTTGGGTTTTTTGTATGTGTAGTCACCCTTGCATCCCTGGGGTAAATCCCACTTGGTCATGGTGTATAACCCTTTTACTACCCTGTTGAATTTGGTTTGGTCATGTCTTGTTGAGGATATTTGTGTCAGTGTTTGTCAGGGAAGTTGTCTGTAGTTTCCTTGGAGATTTTGTCTGCTTTGGTATCAGGGCATGAATACGGCAGTCAGGCCTGGGCCAGTGCATGATGGACCCCCTTCCTGGCAGCTTCTGGGGCTGTTCGACCTGCTTCCCAGAAAACGTGCTTCTGACCATTCCTCAGGCTCCCTTCCCCCACCGGCCTGTGTTCTGGCCGGAGGTACTCAGTCGGTCTCTGCCGAGACTGCTACCCTAGGCCTCTGTCGGGGGGCACGGGTGTCGGGAGGAAAGGTCACCTCACTCTGGTGACCGTGAAGGAGAAGTCCCGGACTAATGCTTAACTTGTCCCCAAGGGTCTCCCTCGTGCTCGCGGCTGTCACCCCTTCTTGCAGAAAACAGCCTCCAGGCCTCCAGCTTGTGCTGCTTCGAGGTCCAGCTGCAAGGGGTCTGGCCCTGCCACGTTCTAAGGAGGTGGAAGGGTTTCAGGGGCTTCAGGGGCCCGCGTGCCGTGCTCCGCTGCGGGCGCTGTGTCTGGAGCAGCACAGGGTCTGCGTGACCGGCGTCGTGGCCTTCTGCCCTGCGCCTCCCCACGGCTGGTCTGCAGGAGCGGCTGCCCCCACTCCTCTGAGGGGCGTGGGAGGGCGTGGGAGGGTGGAGGCACCTGGCTGAGGGGGCGGTGTGTTGCTCCCTCACCCCTGCTGCTGTGAGCCGTGGACAGGGTGACTGCGCCTCCAAGCACCTGTTGTGCCACCCCGCCTGAGACTGGTGCTCTGTGGGACTTGCAGAGATGACCATGACCTCATGCACTTGATCCTCCATACTCGCCTACTCACACTTGTTTGTAATCCGCAGTCTGTACTCACGGGGCACACGTGTTGAGGGTGGCACAGTCCTTGAATCTGGCATGCTGGCTTCCCCTGAGGTCGAACATGACAGGACCCCTCCTCCTGGGCTTGGCTCTCACCATAAACACCTGTTTTTTCACAGCCTGCTAGTGCCCTGTTTTTTCACGTTTTGTGTTTTTGGCTGATTTTCCTGTTTAAAATGAACCCGAAGCACAGTCCTGAGAAGGTCTGGCCTTCTCAGGTTCAGGCACCGCAGTTCAGGCACCGCAGGCTGTGATGTGCCTTATGGAGAAAACATGTCGGAAGAGCTGCTTTCAAGCATGCCCTCAGTGTCCGTGAATCACCACTGTAGGTTAAGTAAGTTGTCTTTAACCAGAAACACATGTAAAACAAGGTGTGTGTTAGTCGGGTGACATAACGGCAGCAAGTGCCCGGTGCGCTCTGTGGCTTGTGTTGGGCACCGCTTCCACTGGGGGGCGGGGGGGACAGTGTCCCACTGGAAGGACTTGGGCTGCATGTCAGCACTGCCCCAACAGCCACATCGGCCCCTGTTCCTGAGACAGACAGGGTACTTAGTCTTGAATGAAGGAATGCACAGTGCACAGGAATCAGAGGCCCCCCATTAGCCATAACCCCCCATTAGTCTAGCTGGCCTCTTTGTCCCCTGAGGGCATGGCCATGTACAAGAGCCCCACCTTGGCCTCCTGTCTAGGTCAGGAGGTATGTTCTCCACAGGGCCAGGGTCTGACAGCTCTCCGGGTGGCCAGCCTCCAAAGCCCCCTTGGGGCCCATCTGCCCCAGAGGATGCTCTCTCCCCAGCCCCATGTGTCACACACAAAGCCAGCTGACAAGCTTGGCAGATGAAGCATATGAGGTCACCCAGGTGGCCGAGATCTGGAATACCTTGGCTGTCCGTAGCTCATCTGGAAAAAATCAGGTAGGACAGGTGTTGTCTTATGAGCGGGCCACATGGCAGTGATGCCTGAGGCCCCTGTGTGAGGAGGAGGGGTGGAGATTGTCCAAAGGACGTTTCCTGAGTCAAGTACAAGAAAGGTAGCTCCAGCCTGCAGAATTGCTCTCTGTGCCCCTGGCTCACCCCGGCGGCCCCCATGCCAGCCCACTGGTCAAGCAGAGTCTGTGTATCCCCTACACCCTCTCTGCGTCCCAGCTTCTTGCACCCCTGTACCTCCTTGGACGAATCCGTCGCCAGGCACCTGGGATTGGGGCTGGTCTCCTTGGCCTTTCATCTGAGTTCCTGATTTGCCTTTCTGCAGCCTGAGTCCTTCCTTCCTTCCGAGTTACCAGGGCAACCTTGCGCTCATCTGATACTTCCACTCCATGACACATTCCCCCGTCTGTCTTCTTCCCTCTTCATCTCTGCTTCCCCGAGCTGTTTCTGGGGTTTGATCTCAGGCAGGGCCTGAAGGTAGCGTCAGGACTTAGGTACCTCACGTTGGGACACTGACAAGGCTGGCAGTTCTGCCGCTTCCCAAGGGAGGTCCAGGCCTTCCTCTTCAACCCAGCCTTGTCTTACCACTTTGAGGAAGCGGCACTTTCTTTTCTCATCTCCTGGCGTTGACCGGCTTGCGCACAGTGTGGGGGCAGGTGAGGGCCAGAGAAGTCCCATGCCGGCCCGTGATGAAGAGCTGGGAGGAAGTGCTTGGCAGTAGGGATGGGGACCAAGGAGAAGCTGGGAAGCCAGCCCAGGGGCTTGTAGGCACATGTCTGCTCGTAAACTCCCTAGATTCACGGGGCTCCGAAGGGTATTCCCTGGCACAGACGCGGGGCTGTCCTTGTTGCAGCTGTTAGCCTGAGCCACATGCCCGCTCCCCTCCTCGTGTGTGGAGTGATCAGGAGTGCCCAGTGTGGCGGGGGGCACAAGGGGCCTCGGCCTCCCCCCCAGTTCTGTGAAAGGTACACACTATTCCAAGTAATAAAGATGCTGGCTGTCCCTGAGAATACCCATTTCTAACTTGCTCTAGGGTCCAGTGCAGACTCCTGTGCCCCTGGCCACTGTGGGCCATACCAGTCCCACACAGTAGCCAGCCCTTTGGGCAGAGAGCCTGGACCAGTGGGTGCCTGGGGTCCCCTGGGGGCCTGATAGGGGACAAGGATGCACCCGAAAACATGGGGTCTGACTCACTGTCTCTTTGCAGCAGTGGCGAGTCCTCTGCACATGTTGGCAACACATGCCTCAGCGTCGGCCTCCCTGCCCACAAAGCGCCAGAATGGCGACCAGACGGAGCAGCCGGAGCTGAAGCGGGTCAAGACGGAAGACGGCGAGAGCATCGTCATCGCCCTGAGTGTGGACACGCCGCCGGCAGCCGGCAGGGAGAAGGGTGTCCAAAACTAGCGACTGGGACAGCTTTTCTTACTTTAGTATCAACTCTGTGGTGCCAAAAGGAGACACTGCCACTCACCGACGCTCGGAGCGCGTTATCTCGGTGGGTAGAGGGCCCTGCGGTTGGACTTCACCTCAGCACTGAAAACACAAAACCCAGGTGGCCTTAAAACTCCTAAAAGACAGAAGTCACACCTGAACAAAACCACATGCAACAAAACCTGGTTCCGGCAGTGTCTCCCCACCCCGAGCTCAGCTTGTCACTCCGGAGCGGAGCTGCTGGGACAGGGCGGGGACTGTCCCCGCCGCCCTCCCCAGGACCCTTGGGGCTGGCACTGGTAGATGAGACAGTATTTTGTTGTTCACATGTGGAATTAGAATATTTTGAGGTGTACTTTCTTTACAAAATAACGGGGTCTTTGACATTTCCGATCGCTCCATTTCTACTCTGGAAATTTTGGAATCACACAGGACCTTTCGTGTTGATTTCATTTGGGGAAAAGAAACAATGTAGTTTTGTTTTTGTTGTTTGTTTTCAGCCTATGGAATGATTTCCTTTTGTCTGTCCTGTTAACGTTCAGATGGAGCTACTTGATGACATCTGCAGGTTTTCCGTGTTAGAGCAGGTGCCGGATGCATCTAGGACGGACGGACAGACTGGACAGATGGACGCCCATGCTGGGCCGCATGTTAACCATGACTGAAAAGAACTGCTGGATTCGCGGAGCTGCACTTAACTGGGTCTCTTTCCTGCTACTTTTTGTTGTTTGTTCCTTTGTGTTGACTTTGTCCCTGGCATAATTTTCCACTCTAAGTAAAACAAGCCTCCTAAGTGTTGTGTGTGTTTAAAACGACAGAACTGTTCCTGTTTCATTTGGAAAAAAGATTCGGTCTTATACCACACACCCTTTTCAGACAAGTGTCACAGGTCTCTCCGTGGCATGTTCACTAGTCACTGTCACCGGTTCTAGGCACAGAGCCGTCGTCCAACCAGCTGTCCACCTGATGACACTGCGGTTTGCCCGGCTCATGGGGAGCAGGTGCTGGGGTGGCTCAGAAGCTGCATGTTAACACAAGGGTCTTGGAAACATCCAGGTCCTTCTCTGGTTTGTAACAGGAAATCCCCCTCAGCCTCTCAGAACTGAAGCAGTCCTAAAGCTGACTTCTCTCCTACAAAAAACAAAAGTGAGACGAAAAGAAACAAAGGTGAGACCGTGACAGTAGGGGCCCCACCTGGCCTCAGTCACACTGCCCCAGAAGAAAACCGCTGGCCTTTCCGGAGTGTTCCAGGGGTGAGGGCTTTGGCCTTGTTGTGAACTTTTAAATGTCATCATCATCATGTTATTTATTTAAATGTAGTTATTTTGGTATTTAATTTTTTTTAAAGAGAGGAAAAAAAACCCTGTATTTTCCTGGTGGAATGAAACGGCTCAGAATGGTATATTTAGGCAATTTTAAAACATTTATTATTTACCTACAGACCAAATATGATAAATCTGTTCTAAGTATTGTGTGTCAACCCACAGTATGGAGCTGTCACAATGTTATTGCAGATAATGCATATTAAAAATTATGAAATTACTGCACACTAGCTGGATTTATAACTCAGCCATTTAAAAAATAAAAACAAAACCATCATGTGAATGATACCACGTGTGTGACAGTAGCAGAATCTAAGCTGCAAGCTGAAGCATGGATGGATTGGAGCACCTCAGGGCAGCAGTCTGCATCTTCCAGGCACTTTACAGATAGATAGATACCTTGGAATGTATATTTTTGTCTTTCTACTCAGAAGGTTTGCAATTTGCAAAATAACTCGGATTGCATTGTGTCTTTCTTATGTGGGGTCAGGTCGCTCCACTGAGTGGTCCAGACCTGCCAGTCATGGCCACTGTAGGCCCTGCCTGAGCCCTGGGCAGTGGTCAAGACTGCCCCAGCGGGAACACTGGATTGGGCACATGCATCGTATGTCTTCCTGGGGATGTGTCTACACAGCTGTGTGCCTGTCACCATTCAGAAAGATGGGTAGATTCTCTCTCAGCCCAGTCCACCGATTGGTTATTCCTGAGCCTAAAACACAGACACTTTGTGGGTCTGGAGGGATTTCTGCTGGGATTGTAGATTAAAAAAAAAACAAAAAACCCAGTTCTCAGATTTTAAAAAAGAAAGGAGGCTAGTTTTTTGGTATAAGGCAGCTGGCATGTGCCTTTTTCAGAGGGCTTGGGGCTTTTTCTTTCTTGTTGCCTCGTTCAGTTGGCTGATTGATTGATTGGCACGTGGCATTGTAAGAATATCAAGGAGAGGGTAGAAAAAAACCATATGGATTAACAAACAGCCATGTCCCAGAGGCTCTTAAAAACGTTCAGTTTAGCTCTGAATTTCCAAGAGCCCTCGAAACACCCAGGGTCACTGAGCTTGTGTCCCTTCTACCCTGCTTGATGGCTGGTGCCCATCCACAGACACGTAGCACTGAACTCTCCGCTATTCACTGGCAGTTCCTAAATGTCTTATTTCAAGAGGTTTCTGCTTTGATCTTTGCCAAACTTCTGAGCCCCCCCAAGGGACTAGAAACTTCCTTTCAACAGCTTTGCCCTGAACCAAACAAAAACACAAGAGAAACTCACATGTGAGACACATGACAGGCATGTTCTGAGGAGTCTGGGCATGACTGCAGATCTATCTTACTCTGGCATCGTTAGTCTTCACGTGAAGAGTTGAGCTCCTTAAAGACACCACCCCCTTTGCCATCCTCCCTAGAACAGCACAGACCCTGAGTCGTGGTCAGAAGGGGCGGGGCAGGGCCAGGACTTGGGATCTCTGGGCTATGTGACACAAGGAGGTAAGTGACAATCTTCAAGTCCTAACCTCCACAACCGTAGAAAGTACAGTGGTGATTTGTGTGCAAAGATTTGAAATTTTAAAATTACCAAGTTCCTGAAATTAAATAAAATATTTTTACTAATTTTAATTGAATACAGAGTATCATTGTCATTTTGATAAACTGAGGCAAGTTTTTTTTTTTTTTTTTTTTTAACTTGTGCTCTGAGCATGCCAAAGGCCTAGATAGAGCACTGGAACAGATGTACGAAGGAACTGTTTGTGCTGACCATGGTGTCAGCTCTGCCACACTAGGAAGGGGTGACAGGTGTGTGCACGAGGAAGAGGCATGGGGGGGGTCACAGGCAGTGGTAATGGAGTCTTGCTGATTTTCATCTGTGACAGTGCAGTTTTAAAACCTATTTGAGGTTGTGGTTGTTGCTGTCATTTCAAGATCAAGATCACTGCAAACAACTGAGATTTATCTTATGGGATGAAAGTCTCACCTAAAGAGGCTGTGCGAGCTCCACATTCTAACACGGTGACCATCCAGCTACCAGGAGGTCCGTGACGTGGGCTCCGCTGCCCTGGAGCTTGCTGACCCTGGGCAGCAGGGGAAGGAGTACCAAGAAGGATGGCGCAAGGCCCTGTGGCAGCTCAGTGAAGCGGCAGGGCTGGAGGACAGCTCATTGGGGGCTTGATTCCTACACTGAGAGACGATTTCTCCTTGCAAAAGGAAGCAATCATAATGGGCTTTTTTAGATCTGCTGTCCACACTGTGTTAATAGATGCTTTAAAATGCGTACAGCCTCAGCCCCCCTTCTCTCAGGCAGTGTTACTCTGGTAATTCATTAGGTTCTCCTTGAAGTTAAACTGTGTCAAAACAGAGGTGACAGCTATCCTAGAGGATAAGCTACCTTTGTCCAGGAAAAAGATGAAGAGAAGAGCCTTCAGAGAAAGGAAACAATTCACTAACTGATAGGAGGTCTTCCCTTGTAGCAAAAGCACTGCTAACTAGAAGTAGGCCCCCATTTAGGGCCACGTTTCATCTGCAATGAAGACATCAGGGCACATTGTGAACCTACCTGCAGTCACCATCTAGTGAGTTCTGGCATAAACAGGGAGGTGTAAGTGCACGGTGACACTGCAGGCCACTGGCCGGCACTCAGGTTTCTAGGAATTGCTGCGCTAAACAGACTTACCACTTACCACTCCCTCCACGTTTCTGTCGACAGCAACACACCAGATGTTAACCAGGGTGTCAGGTGACCTCTGAGGAGATGGGTAAACCTGTGGGCACAAATTTCCTGAGTTTGGAAATGCCCTTCAGAGGTCCCCATGGGGGCATGCTCTGCCCTATATCTTCCCAGTGGTTACAACTAACAGCCCTTAACGGAATAAAGCAATTATCCCAGTTCTCTGAAAAACAGGCCGATTGGGGCTGGGGGATTAAAACTCCAGTAACAACCAATATGGTGGTGACTTTCCCGTATTTTTCCCTCTTGTATCTCCTGGGGAGCCTGAATACCGGAACTGCACATTAGAAGCAAACAAGAGGGTACCCGAGGGACACCTCCCTCTCCACCTGGCAGAGCACTGGCTGCGTGCAGTGGCTCTGGACACACAGTACTCAGCCAAGAGGAACTGGAAAAGGGGATGCCCATAAACTCCAAAGAGGGGGTGTGTGGAGGGGAGAATCCCTGTGATGTTTTTCCTTCCTTGGGGCCTCAACTTTGGCCCCAAGCTGGACCCAGTCATAGTGTGCAGCACCACAGGGAGGCAAAACCTGAACTACTTTAGCCAAAGGACCAGGAAAAGGTGTATCTGGAAATATGGGAAGATCCCCTAAAGCCCATATGATACCCTGGGTTCACCCTGAGCTGCATGTGCCTGGAACTGACCTGACGAAGTAGAGACTGTATTAACTGAACTACCATACAGATTGGCCCCTGGTGGTGCACACAGGCATAGACCCAAATAGCTCTTGGAAAACGATACCAGAACCAGAGCCCACCCAGAGCAGATCAGCATGTGCAGTCTGAACATAGATTATTTGCCTGCCTAAAAAAATCATTCTCTAAAGGATTTTAATAAGACTCAGTGTCTCATAATATTAAAAATGTCCAGAATACAATCCAAAATTACTCACCTACGAAGAGCCAGGAACATTTTTAAAGGGAAAAGAAAGTTAACATACTTAAATGTGTTGGAATACTCAGGAAAAGGTATTAGAGCTTTTATATAAATGTTTTATTATAACCATACTCCATGAAAGAAGGGCAAATGCTCTTGAAATAAGCCAAAAGTTATAAACTTTAAAGTGAAAAATACAGTGGATAAACAGAAAAAAACATTTGGAAACAGAAACAAATGGAGCCTCAGGGACTTGTGGGACAATATAAAAATATATAATGTATGTGTTAATTGGATTCCCAGCAAAAGGAGAAAGACATTGGTGTAAAGAAAATTTTTTTTAACAAAATGGTTGAAAATATCCCTAATTTGACAAAAGATAAATGTAAAGATTCGCAAAGCTCAGTAAACCCCAAAAAGTTAAACTCAAAGAAAACCATGTCAAAACACCATGGACTAATGAAACTGAAGACTTTTAATCTTGAAAGCAGCCAAAGAAAAGTGACTCATATACATAGCAACAACAATGTGAATAACTACAGATTTCTCATCAGAAACCACAGAGGCCATATGCCTGGATAGTTTTTAAAGGCTGAAAGTAACCATCCATCTAGAATACTATATCCACAGAAAATACCAGGAATACAGATGAAATAGATGTTCCTAGATGAAGGAAAACTAAGAGTCCTGAACCAGCAGAGCTCTCAGAAGGCAAAGCTAAAGGAAGTTCTTCAGGCAAAAAGTAAATGGCAGAAAGAAACTTGGAACTTCAGCAGTGAAGAAAGAGCTCAGCAGAAATGGAAAGATCTATGCAAATACACTAATGTTTCCTCTCAGGTTCTTTAAAAGATGTCTGACTTTGCAATGTAACAATTACTGTCTTTCAGGATTTTTGGTGTATGCAAATGTTATATTGACAAAATTACAATATTAAAGAGGAAGGCAAAGGTTTACTTAAAAGGTCTCTACATTTCACTTGTGGTGAAGTGGTGAAACATTAATTCCAAAGTAGAGTGAAAAGTTACTTTGAATATTGTAATCAGTAGGGCAATCACTAATAATATCTAACAAAAAGCTAAAAAGTAAATGGAATGCAAATAATGTTCCAAATAATACAAAAGGAGGCAGGGAACATAAAACCAAAAGGAAGGAAAAAATGAACTAAGCAAAAAATATGGCAGAATTACATTAAATATAAACAGCCTACACATGCCAATTAAAAAGAAATTTTAAAGAACAGTCGCATTTTCAAATGCATCAAAAAGAATAAAATACCGGGGCACCTGCATGGCTCACTCGGTTAAGTGTCTGACTTCAGCTCAGGTCATGATCTCAGGGTCCTGGGATCAACACCCACGTAGGGCTCCCCATTCAGCAGGGAATCTGCTTATCCCTATCCCTCTGCCTCTCCCCCTGCTTGTGCTCTCTCTCTTAAATAAAAATCTTAAAAAATAAAAAACCTAAAAATATTAAATTTAACCAAGGAGGTGAAAGACCTGTACTCTGAAAACTATAAAACACTGATGAAGGAAATTGAAGATGACACAAATAAATGGATACTCCATGCTCATGGATTGGAAGAACCAATATTGTTAAAATGTCTATACTACTGCCCAAAGCAATCTACAGATTTAGTGCAATCCCTATCAAAATACAAACAGCATTTTTCACAGAACTAGAACAAGGTCCTAAAATTTGTATTGTACTACAAAAGACCACAAATAGCCAAGGCAATCTTCAGAAAGTACAAAGCTAGAGGTATTTCAAGATCTTCTACAAAGCTATAATAAAATAGTATGGTACTGGCACAAAAATAGACACATAGATCATTGGAACAGAACAGAGAGCCCAGAAATGAACCCAGTTAAAGGGGGCAAAAATATACAATGGGGAAAAGACAACAGATGGTGTTGGGAAAACTGGACCA